ATCTTAAAGGTCTTTTCCAACCTAAATGATTCTATGATCTCAGTGGTCCTCTGCTGAACTCATTCCAGCTTATTGATGTCTTTCCTATATTAGGGTGCCTAAAACTGTATGAAATATTCTAGATGTATTCTAATGAGTGCCGAGCAAAGAGGAATATTATTTCCCAATATATTTTCTTCTCAATATACTAGCTATGCTCCTGTTGATGCAGCCCAGCATGTCACTGCCAAGGCACACTGCTAGCTTACTACCTACTGGGAACTACAGGTCCTTTTCACCAGGGCAAGTTCCCAGCCTTGTACCATTATACGGGACAAGCCTGTCCCAGGTACTGGACTTTGCACTTGTCCTTCTGGATTTTCATGATGTTCTTGTTGACCCATTCCTCTACCTGCATAGGTCTTTCCAAAAGGACAGTCATACACTTAACTGTACTGACAGCAACCCAAGTTCAGTTTCAATTGCACACTTGATGAGGATGCATTCTGCTTCCTTTAATCAATATCCAATCTGCTGACTGTTCCCAAACGAACATTTTATAATTTTCCTGTCATTACTACAAATTCAAATGCACAATGAAGAGTTGGAACATACTTCCTGCCTGAAAACCAGCACAGTTTAAGAAATAACAAGAAGGTCCAATTCTAGCAATTACATTGACACAACAGAAGGATAACTCATCTGGAACTGCTGTCAGACATTTAACAAGAATGCTCTTAGTCAACACTGCATCTTAGATGCCAAGTTCAGACACATATAAAGACAGTGGCTCATGTATTCCACAGTTACTGCTTATGAGCATTAGTCCCATGACAAATGGTAAAATACCACCATTACACTGAAGGGCAACAGAACACTGCATGCACATGCATCCAGGCACTACCACAGAGCACTGACTATAATTAAAGTATCACATTTAGTGACAATTTCTTTTTTGTGTGTTCCACTGATCAGAGTTCCTCTGATTTGCATTACAATCATCAGAAGTGACAATGTGCAAATGTCCTTTTTTTTAAATGCTAAGTAATTTTTTGTGTAGGTTTTGAGAAAACTGATAGTTCAACAAGTAAAAAGAATACATTGCAAAAATAGCAGTGGACATCTAACCCATTGTATACAAATGGACAGCAAACATGAGATTTTGTTTTAATGGTATCTAAGCAATTTAGAAAGCGTTACTATTAAATGAAGCTAGATAAAAAGGATTGCCACAAAAAATGAATTTAAACAAATAATGGATCCTCTGTATATTTATACAATGTATTTCAGAGGGAACACATATACAGAAGCAAAAAAAAAAACCCCACAACTTATGGAATTGCAGCGTTTCTTCTATAGAGACAATTGGACTCAATGATAACTGTTCCTTTGAATCTGAAAAATCTACAAATAATCAAACATTAAAATTCTTCTGCACTTTGGAAAACTACGTCAACACCACATGGATTTAAGGTCAAGTTAGTTTTCCCATATTCCCAGCAAAGCTGATTACTTGCTGACCAGAAGTCACGTTCTATTGCAGTAAAACAACACTACTGCAATGACATCATCACCATGCCCAAGTTAAAACATTACTTTAATGGTGAATTTCACTTTGGCCATTAGCTTTACCAGCAGTATTCCCAGTAGATTTACACATTTCAAGAGTTATGTGACCTTGGAAGGCATAGGACTTACCTCCAGTTCTTGGTGTGAGGAGGACCATCTTCAACACGAAGCAAAGCATAGCGAGCTGCATTTAGAGACAGTCCTCGGATTCCATCACCCCATTCTTTTTCCGCTCTTCAGGGTGCAGAAGAGATTCAATTAACAGGGTCCCATTTATTTTTACAAATTAAGTACATTTTCTCATGTGAGGGATAATGGGCATAAAAAATGAACAGTTTCTTGGATAAATGCATGAAAAAACTCATCTTGCAGATTTAAATCAAGAATTAAGACTAACCAAGATGAAGCAGTCTCAGGTCCCCTCAAGAGAACTACTTGTTAAGTATTTATTAATGTTTATTATGGTCTAATTTATTCATACCAAAAGCTTTTTTGTAATCATGAGAGCTACTTAAGTTGATTTTAAGCACTAGAATGAATGTGAGGGCCACTGAAAAGGAATTGTTTTAAAGCAGCAGAATGAATAAGTGAAACTTGACTTTGTATGGATTAGTGTGTTGTATCTTCCCCAACACCACCACTACAGCTTTCTCCACTTCCTTCCCTTCTCAGCTTCTCCCCGAGATGAGCCTAAAGCTTTTTCTGCCCTGCTGACTGCTTTCAGTCTTCCTACATTTTCCACCTCTCTTTCTCCCAATACAAAGCTATGCTATACACCAGGTGGCCAACCAAATAAGAACTGTTAGGCTAACACATTATTTTCCTTTGTGGGTATTCTACTATGGCAAGGAGTCCCTCTCCCTTGCGCTCCCTCCCTCTTATTTCCATTCATGAATTCTCACTAAATTTTGTTAGCTCTAGTCTTCTTCTGAAATTTAGATGAAGTAAGCCAACTGGATTCAAAAGCTATTAAAGAACAATGTAGCAATTAAAATGTACCCTGACAGACTGCGCAATCATGTAAGTTTCTTTTATTTAGTTATCCAAAAATTAAAACAGAAGTTTTCTCCAGACAGCAGTTTTTAGAACATTGCAGGGTGAATTTCTTCCCACTGCCAATCAGCCTCTGCATTTGTAAAGGCAGGGAGAAAAGAAGTTAAGTTTCTGCAAAAAAGAATCTCTTTCTACAGGGTAGATGTGCTGGCTATATGCCAACAGTTGTAGAGTCTGTATACAAATTTGGATGTACATATAACTTTATGTATGTACATACCTACATACACACACACAAGCAGAACTTCTCATCTGATCTGACATCCTGGCTAAAATAGGCAAATTAATTTCCTCATAATAAACCCAGTAAATGGAGCTGTTACAATCCAGGAAAGCATCTAATCTGGAAATGGAGTTATTAAAAGATGGAGAATCCACAAGGTGGAGCAGTTTATACCAGCTGATCCACATAACACTCATCAAAACTGGCCTCACTTCAATTTCTTGCTCCAAGACCTTACTATTTTTCTTGACTAGAATCTTTCAGCATTGGATTTCTTTCCTTAGAAAGGGAAAGTACACACATTACTGATCATAATCACTTCTGATGTTTGGATATGTTGTTTAGTTGGGGGGGGGTTGGCTGGTGGGTTTGTTTAGTGGGGTTTTTTTTTAATATGAACTCAGCATGCTCTTTAAGTCTCCTGCTTGCACAGCATTTTTAACAGGTGTGGCTCTGTATGTGTCCCTTGTCAAATGCATACAATACAAAGTATGTTGCAATTTAAAGATTATCTAAGTCTTCAGAAAATAGGTAATTTTCAGTGTGTGCTCTGGATTGTTCAGTATGATTCACTCTAAAAAGTGCTAAAGTCCACACAAAAGAGTGGAGTTTTTGGGCTTTAGCACAAGTTAATAAGGTATCAGTTCCGTAATAGTTGCTGCTTGATATTAAAAGGTGTTATGCATTACAAGATACCTTGGTTCCTGAAGTACCAAAAGTTTTTACACCATAATCTCTGCTCAGATGAAAGTTTCCCAGCCTTATTGGTTCTTATTTTGATTAGTTCTGGCTGTCAAGAAATTTGGAACAGAGCTTCCAGAGAAACTAGAACCTGAAAACTTTCAACCCTTAACAGAGATGGGATCTTACCTTGTTTCAAGGAATAGTCTTGATTCTATTACTTCAGCTGTATCTATTTTATACAAAAGTGCTTTTTGCTGAATGTTAAAGATATTAAATATAGAATAAATAAGATATATGGGCTTACCCTCTATATTCTATGTATTTGTATATACATCCTGCGATTAGCATGGCAATCAAAGCATAGTACCAAGAGCAAATGAACATCAAGGCAAGACATAAACTCATCCCCAGGAATGAGAGAGTCCTAAAAGAAACCATTTTTTTCCATTTTTTTAAATAGGCATGCAAATGTTCTACAAAGTCAATTTCTTATTTAAGTTAACTTCCAGAAAGGCCTTTCTTTTGAAGACAAAGGCCATTTCATAACTACGATACAAATAAAAATAATTGTCCCAATTTTCATTTATTAAAAAAAAATTACATTCTGAAACTTTGTGTGACATAAATAATACAATTGAACTAGATATAACAATAGATTTACTATGTTTGTCAGTTCTGAAACCCTATCAGTACCTCCAAGTAAGGTCAGTTTCAAAACACATTGCTATCAGTTACTTAGTGTTGATTTGAACTTAAGCTAAAAAAAATTCTCCAACTCTACTAAACGACACTATGTTACTTCCAGCAAAATAGTTGACTAGTTTAAAATTCAACTTGACTCATCAATTACATTTTCCACTTCCATTGTGGCCTGTCTCTTAGGCAAGAACACAGGAGAGTAGAAGAGAATACAGAAAACAATCTTTTAAAGGCTATAAAGAAGGAATGACTGTGAGCTGAAAAAGTTACAGAAGCATTTCCAGATTAAAGTTTATATGCCTGGTTTGCCCACACTATTATTCAAGATAGATGTAAGTCAGCTCAGAACTGGACCGTTTTGTGAATACCTTTAGTCACATACAACACTCCAGATGTCTTTTCACCTGATTTCCAAATTAGAGCTAGCTTTCAGTGTCTTGACAAAGAGTGTCGGCAGACCCAACTTTTGTTTGGTACCTTTAGTTTGCTTCTTTAGTACCATACAAGTACTGAGTCCAAATGCATCCAGTTTTAAACCAAAGAAATGCTTTCTACCTGTTCTGAGGACATCAATCTAAATGTAGTTTGTCTGAAGGAACAACAGCTGATCTTTCATGCTTGACTTAGCCAACTTAAGACTACTTTCACTCGAAAAAAGAGTCCCATCCCAATTCTGGCCAAGCATTCTGACACCTGCTTTGGCTAGAAGGGATTACATAGACACACAGCAAGTCAGTTGGCTCACTGATCTCTCTGGGAAAAATATAAAAAAACAGCTACAAACTCTGCTGCTTCCATGTCGCAACCCTTTGCTTTTTCTTCCTCACCATGTTCCATCCTGTACCTCTTGCTACCCTTCGTCTTATCCACCTGCCTTTGCTTTTAAGCTACTTTGTACCTCCTACTATACTTCTTCCACAATCAGATTATTCAGGGGAGGTGGAACAAAAAAGAACCCCAAAAGACAGCAATCCCCCATTTTCCTTCTTGATGTTGCAAATAATACTAGGTGTTTGCAGTGATAGACTGGGAGACAGGCACTGATGTATTTGGAGGTTTAGGTGCCAAACTAGTAAGTGCCTACTGGGCACATTCAAAAAGATTTTTTTCAGGGCTAAACCAGTGACCTTTCATTTTCACTCAGTTCTTTAAAAGGAAAAATAATAAGCAACTCTTACATCCTCGAATCAGGCTGGCTTATCTCCTAAAGGCTCTAGTCTTCAAGGCATTTCTACACTAAAATTTCTCAATAGAATTACTGCTAAATATATGTATTTTTAACATTTGGTAAAAAAAAAAAATCAAAAAGTTTCCCAATCTTTGTCTGAAATGTTTGAACTCTTAAGCTATTTAAAAAAAAAACACCTAAACAAAAAACCACACCTACACTTTTTGTATAACTGACTTTTACTGACTTTGTCAAGTATCCACTTGCTTACTTCAGTTATCAAATGCAACGTCTAAAGCGTGACATATTTTAAAAATAGTGATCATATCGTTAAAGAGCCAACTGATGTATATTAAATGAGATTTTTTTTTTCTGTATGAGTTTTGGTTTTGTGTATTTTTTTGCATAACTAAAGTGAAAATCATATCAACCTTCCTGAACATTTTTACCAGTTCTCCTAATCTATACATATATATTATTTTTTTCATCTTCACCTCACATATTCAGAAGATCCCTTGGCTTATAAGCAATATTCAATCTCATCCTGTAGCCCCTTCCCAAACCCTCTACATTAGCCATGTTTTTGTGATCACAGCTATTACTAGCCCTATTCCAAACACATGAAAACAAATGTTGCTGTTATTCAATGCATGAATCATCTTATTTAAGTCAGAGAGGAGATTTTATTATTGCAAGAAAATCAACAATTTAGGGCTGCGTAATTAGTTTCAACTTTTCTGAAAGAAGGAATATCCCCTACCAATGGTAATACTTGAAACGAGGTCTCCAGTTGGGAGTCCGTAAAAGTGTCTGAACAGCACAAGCCAGATTTACAAACATATAGCACATAAGGAAAAACCTGTTAAAAAAAAAAAAGAGAAGCATTTTCCAATAGGAAATTAACTAGACAGATTTGCATTAAAAGGCTGAACACAATCCAAAAAAAGGGTAGGAACTCGTACACTGTGTTCACAGTGGCCAATAGAACACAAGACGTAGGTTAAATTAATACCTGTAGAATGTTAGGCCTCAAAAATGGTGTTAGCATAATACAGAGCCTCAGACAAAGATTTCAGAGAAAACATAACAAACAATTGACAATTACGGTGTACTAGTTTTGGCTGGGATAGATTTCATTTTCTTCATAGTAGCTCATACGGTGCTATGTTCTGGATTTGTAACCAAAACAGCGTTGATAACATAGCGATGTTTTAGCTGTTGCTGAGCAGTGCTTAACACAGCATCAAGGCCTTCTCTGTTATTCTTACTGCCCCACCAGCAAATAGTCTTGGGGAGGGGACACAGCTGGCACAGCTGACCACAACTGATAAAAGGAATATTGAGTACTGTATGACAATCATGCTCAGCAGTAAGAGCTCAGGGAAAAGAGGAAGAAGAGGGGACGTTTGAACTTAATGGTGTTTGTTTTCCCAAGTAACAGTTATACATGGTGAAGCCCTGCTTTCCTGGAAATAGCTAAACATCTGCCTACAGATAGTGAATGAAGTCCTTATTTTTCCTTGCTTGTGCATGGAGCTTCTGCCTTACCTATTAAACTGTCTTTATCTCAACCCATGAGTTTTCTCACTTTTGCCCTTCTGATTCTCTCCCCCTCCCTTCACCACTGGGGGGGAATGAGCGAGCACATAAATGCGTGGGGCTGAGCTGCCTACTGGGGTCAACCCGTAACACATGGGATAACTTCCAAGACAAAGTCAGTAAAATAAAGTTCAGTTCATATCCTAAAACAGTAAATTGTTTTGTCTGTCTCTATTAGATGCACTTGAGCTAAAATAGCAGGATTTTTTCTTTTAAGATCCAGGTTTTTAAAAGTTGAACATATTTTTACTAGCATTCAAGGACTCTGTCATGGAAAAAGTTTTTTGTGCCTAGAAATTAGTTCCAGCCAAAACATTTCGTTGTTTCATATTATCTCCAGGATCAGATAGGAATATAACTTGTTAGAAGACAAAGTCTAGCATGTATTATTTCAAAAGGAAAAATCATTACCTAATTAATTTAAAAATAAAATACTATTTAACTTAAGAAAACAAAACACCACATTCATACTTACATTGAAAGAATTGGTGCTACACTGTCCAATGAGGCTATCAAAATTCCTATTTCACAAATACCAGCAGTGAGGAGCAGAGCCCAGGTTGGTTCTCCATTTGCTTTTCCATGACCAAATACCTAGCTCAATTCAAGTAAACAGTAAGATTAGGAAAAGCTGTTCATTATACAGTCATGAAATATGGTGCAGATCACAAACTAACTCTAACTGGAACCAAAACCAGCCATTAGTTACAAAGGAAAATGAAGCATCTATACTACAAAAAGCCACAAACAAAATTGCAGTAATTGTTGAAATAATTTTAAGTAACTTAAAATCCACGTGCATCAGAGATTTATGCTTGGTCTATAAAAAGCTAATATAGTTGAGGGTAGTATTTTTTGTAACATACAAAATAAGCATGAACTCAGTACTTATGCACATAAATATTGATCTTTAAAGAGGACTTAGGTAAGCCTATGATCCTGCACAGAGCCCTACCAAAAATCATTTTGCATGTGGTAATTTCCTTTGGGGAGAATTCTATCCAGCTGTACTAGTGATAGATGGTAAAATGCCTCACCTTAAATTCCAGCTGTATTTATTCTCCTCCATACAATTATAAAGACTGAACCCTCACTCCCATTTTCTATAATGGCTGCCTTTCCAAATGTCTAGGTTCTTCACCTCACTCACTCTCCATAGTGTCTTCCTCCCTTAGCTTCCTGTCATCCATCAATCTTCCTTTCCTTATATTAAACAGCCATTTTTTTCTGCTGATGTTTCAAGTCTCTTGGACTTTTCTTAAATATGTCATAAACTTGCCCCATGAATGCTCCTTGCATTCATTTCCTTGATTGTCCATGCAGCAGCTCTGTCACTCCAAAACTGCAAGCACTTTTCTAGTCTCAAATCCCTCTTCAAACATCCTGCTTCTTCTACATTCCCTTTCCCTCACTTCCCAAACCATGTAAATTTTTTCCTTCCGATTCTTCACTCCTCTCAAATCCAACCCTGATAAGACAGAATCATACAGTCACCTTCTCACCAAGTAGAAAATTCTTACTTCAGACAAAAGTGAAATATTTCATTTGTCTCTCTCAATACAACCCGTCATTTACCATTTACTGCATTACAACCCCTTTCCACTCACAAGTCAAACTCCATCATTATTCTGTATCTCCACACCAGCATACTTAGTGTATTTACTTCCAGTTACAGATATAAACCTTGCAAGTCAGGGAACATGCCACTGCTCTCAACTGTGAAATAAAGCAGCAGCATGTTTGATATTCTTGCACATCCTCACCATCTTTCTCCACCCCTCGTAGAAAAGATGCTCCTAAACCAAGGGAAAGGTGATATAACTTTCTCAATGAACAAGTTGCCAGTACTGTAGAATCAGAGACACAGCAGTTTCATTTCCTGCTAGCAGTAGCACTGCTGGCCAACATTCAGGCAACAGAGGGGCTGCAGAAGCAGCAGCTGCCATCTTTTTAACTTCTTTACTTCTTGATTCATTAACCCTTCTGGCTCCTGCTCCCAGTAGCAATACTAACATACATTTCCAGTGACCATTCTCCCCTTCAGCCCAAGAGAAGAGAAGGACCTAAGAGAAAATATCAAGGATATAGCCCTACCAAGACGAGGCACTAGCAGACAGACCAGGGAAGCAGCAGCAGTGGGATGGAACCAAATGATTAAAGACTGAGAAAAAAGTTGGCAACAACACTATGATCTGTCTTTTAAAAAAAATGCCAACAACAAAAACTCACAACACACAAAAGACAACCCAGCCCCCCAAAGCCACTAGCTCTTCCATTTTGCTTTGCTTCTCAGCTTTTCCAACCATCTCCTCCAAACTATTCCCTGCAAGCTCCTTCCCCCTCTTCGCACAAGTCCTTTCCTCTCTTATTTTCCCATTCCCATGTATCTGCATGTCTCCCCCCTCCTCAGATTTTTTCCCCCCAGCCCCACTCAAATTCTCCAGCTAACTCACCATTCGTAATAGTCCTAGGTATATCCTAGCTGAGGAATTTTCTCCTCAAGTCACACACCAGCGTACTGACTCATTGTAGGTTTTCCCCAAACTCAGAAACCAAATCAAGCCGCTGCTACTCTATACCTAGCCCTCATTGAAGATAGATTATGGATATCTCTGAATAGAGTCTTAAGTTATTCACCAAGTGTAATAGCCCATTTTTAACATAACATACTACACCAACCTCAGATGTGGGACAGTGACCTAGAGCACACTTCTGATCAAGACTCCAGAGGTAAGCATGGGTAAATTTGGGAATACTCAAACACAAGTTTGGTCACGTAACTTAGGTATCAAAATAGTGATATAAACCTCCCAAAGAGATATATAAAAAGACAAGTGCTCCAAATCATCCTCAGGACTCTCTACATACAGAACAGCCTATTCTCCTAAATTCAGCCCTAGCTACCTTCAGTGTCTGTGCTATCTGCAGTTTCTTTCTGTGTGCTAAATTTGACAACTGTCCCTTAACTCTGTTCCCAAAATATTCATCATTACTCAGACACAATCCTGTTTTCTATACTTGAACCTGTTCCTGGTAGGTTATCATTGTGCTGAGCAACTGTTGACTATTCTTGGCAATTTAAGGTAAGCTTTCAAACTCCAAACTTCACCACAGAAGTCACAGCTTCGCTCTCTAGACATTGTAATCTTCTAGAAGTTTATTTTTAACTCAAGTCTAGTTGTCTAGTTTCTGTAGATGCAGCCCAGCAATTGTGTTAAATATCTTCCAGCAAGAGTTCTCTTTTCTTCTGCTTGCCAACTCCCTCACTCGCTTCTTTTGAGAAAAATCTGATTTATTTATTTTTAAAACATGCACAAGGATATTGGAACAATCTTAGTGTTCAGAGTCATGGGATAGAATTCTACTGTTACATCTTTGTTGACTTCATTTAGCTTACAAAAATGAATAAAAATTAGAATTGTATCTCTAGGATACGAGAAGTATCACTCAGTTCCATAAGGAGATTAAGTCAACTCTGTTCACAAATACAATTTGTAAACAAGAAGTTCAGCTGTTAGTTTCTTCTTAGTTCATTTACATCCATTTATAGAAGATATATTCCTAGTTTTGAACCACTAACTTTTGTGTGTAAGAACAGAAATAATTGAATTGCCTTGCACAGAAATATCCAAGTTGAAACTTTGTCTTACAATAGCTTGATCTATTATTGTACACAATTAGAACTGAGCTCCAAATCTTTTCCTCACAGTTCTACAGGAATAGCAGAAATAATGCCTCATTTTTTTGTCAAAATACAAGCCATATTTGAAGTACTGTAAAGAAAAAAAAATCTCACTTGAATAAATGGTACAATGCCATCTCTTGCAATGGCCTGCAACAGACGGGGTGCACCAGTGAGACTCTGGAGACCAGCACCACATGTTGAAAAGAATGAACCAATCACAATAACCCATGGAGAAGGCCAGGCCAGTGTACCAACCACTAGATTTCCATTAACTGCTTCTCCAAACCTTTGGGGGGGCGGGGGGAGGGCAGGGAGAGGGAAAGAAAAAAAAAAAATCAGTAAGCATTAAGATAACTTCTACTATAGCTTCAAAACCCACATTTCAATGTTTTTGGACAACAGCACTTTTCAACAATAAACAGCATGTCACAGTATTCACTATAGGATTTCCCAGCCAACCAATTTCTCCTTATTCTGCTGTTTTAAAGAAAACATATTATAATTGATTCATTGTAAGTGCTGCCTCTAAGCAGACATACAGCAATTATCAGGTATTGTGGCAAACTTTACAGAATTAAAAGCAATAGCAAAAGTATTTACATACGCATCCTTTAGATCCTTGTGACTGCTAGGAACTAGATTGCAGAAATATGTTCTACAAGTAATACAGATATACCCTGGGGCATAAGCAGGAGATTCTCAAAACAAAGTATTAGCCTTTCCTTTTAATAGTGTGACACTGACATATGGACAAGTAAATACAGAAACTACTAGACAGAACTATCTCAAGTTATCCACATGCCTTCTGACTGTTGTGCTACCTGATGCAATTTTTAAATGACTATGGCAAACAACCAGGTGCAAATCAGGAAGATGTGCTTTCATTACAAGTCTTGAGTGTCCCATCCAATGTACTTTTTTTTTTTTTTAAGATAATTAACTTTATGTTCATTTATGGACATCTATGACATTTATGGACAACTATGAAAAGGTTGTTTTCCCCCCTCCCCCAAACAGATGTGTTTGTTTTAAAAGCCAGTAAAATTGTAGTTCATCTTAGTTTTGTTAGTGAGCAGCCAAAATAAATTTTAAGACTACCTACACTGGATAGCATAATTTTTTTTTTGTTTTTTTCAAAATAAACAAACATCAGAGAAAAGAAAAGGCTACAGACTAAGAAAAATTAAATGCTTTATCTCTTTTCAGATCTTCTCTTAAACAAGGTCAAGAAACATAGTAATCAGATTAATATAATAAGCCAGTGTTCAAAGTCTCGCAGATGCCCAAGCTTGGATGCATGGCTACATACTATTTTCAGCAGATGGAAAAAAGGGAAAACACACCCTTTAAAAATATAGGAGAAAAAACATATTATGCCTCTATGGCAACATTTACACAGTTGCACATTCAATCTTAATTCAAATTCTAATGCTTGTGTTTTAATTAAACATGGGGTAGGAACAACTGAAATGAAAGACAAACACTAAAAAACATACAACCTACTTTTTCCCTATGGCAGATATGACAATCCATAATGAAAAAGAAAAAAAAAAACCCCAAAAACCCCAAAATCAAAAACCAGTCTTCAGACCAAGATCCATACATTTTACTATTATTCTGGATTTCAGCCAAACAAGAACTGGAAGCAGTGTAAATGAAAGAACATGGATTCAATGCTCTTGCTACAATGCATCCCCCTATAGTGACAGATCACCTGCACTCAACACCTTGCAAAATTCTGCCCTCCCCCCCAGTAAATTTCAAAATACATTACTTTCAAAAATGTGATTTTATAGATATTGGCTCTCATTAATTTATAATTCAGAATTTACTATTTCTTAAACACCAGCTTGATTTGGTTTGTATATTTACTTTGAAGAAAAAGAAATTGGAGATTTTCACTGAGGCAGCAATACCATTTTAAAGTAAAAGTGATCCCCTGCTGCTTCTTGAATTAGCTTTGATTAGAATCCAGCTTTTAACTTACGGTTTTCCTTCTAGACTAAAAGACTGTTTTGAAATAAGTTGTCTGAGACATGTCTAATGGCATCATTTCCATCACCTTCCAAACAATATTCCAATGCCACTGCTTCATCACAAAAAACAAACTGTGGCTCTAGTAGAGCACAGAACCAGACACCAGCAAGGAAACAAAAAATGTGAAACCTGCCAACAGATTCATCTTAGTCAACTCAGCTTCTAAGGGAGAACTTTATCAAAATTTGGAGATTCTGTTCATGCTTATCTCCATTACATTTATTCTCTTCATGCTTCATGTTGGGCCCCAAATATCCTCAGGCAATTACATGGGTGAAAACTGACACATCTTCTGATCTACAACTGATATTTTAAAATAAAAAATAGCCATACATCCAGTGGAAATTATAGGCCTGATGGTGCATTGCAGTCTCTCATGAACTCTCCTTGCCATGTAACTGTCAAAAATCTTTTTCTTTGTTCCTCAGGAGCATATTACTTCTCCAAAAGTAATACCACTCCCCTTACCCCCACCCACCAGCTCCACAAATACTATGATTTTCTTTCTCAAGAACATTTTATTAGGAACAGTTCCACTTCAAACATTTATCTTAGATTCTGCTTCTGCTTCTTGAAGGGATACAGCCTGATAGCCTGACCAGTTTTTGCAGCCATCTCAGTTTAACAGATAAGACTTTCCCACCAGTTTCAACATAAGCAAAAGAAAAATATATATCACACAGATATTTCCCAGAAGAGCCATTAATGAGTCCTATTAACATAACCCATGATCATACATACTCCCTGTAAAATTAGAAGTTGAATACGACTTACTTATCTCTTAATATCACACCTTCTATACATGCACCAAACAACACTATACACGAGAGATCTATTACTGAGACTGAAGGAAGATTACAAGATAAATAATCATATACATGGAGAAAGAAAAAAACCTTTTTTCACCTAGGGATGAAATGAAAGCGTCCATAATAATGAAGTGGGGTTTTTTTGTTGTTATTTTGTTTGTTCTGGTTATTTCGTGGTTGGTTTTGGTTTTTTTTTTAATTCTTCCCTGCTACAACTTTTTAGTTTATGTTCTCTACAAGTGCATTTGATGCACAGTTGATTTGTGAAGTATTGGAAGTAGCCAGTTCATACATCATGCAACAGAATAGGTATTGTCTCGCACAAAAAAGCATTTGTGTCTTCTAGGTATTGAAGACACAATACCGGTAGTTTGCTTTAAAATTTTCACTGGGTACTGAGTATAACAGCAAAGCAATCTGCCAACTGAAGCATGATGCTAAAAATTTAACTAAAAACATCAATTATGTATCGGGATTTGAAGCACTAGCAGAATATGTATTTTAAAATATTTATATACACAAAGAAAATTTGAGCTATTTTTAATAATATTTATAAATCATATTTATATTTTAGACAAATAGAAAATATTTCTATTCAGTTCAGATTTCATTCATTTTATACTCAGGCAACTCTAATGAGTTTTCAGTGAAAAAAAATATACTGTTATACCTACAAAACGCACACTAGAAAAAGTCACAGCATAAAGGATACAAATAAAAGACGTAGTTGAAATAGCCAAAATTGTTCCTGTAGGAATAGATTTCTGAGCATCCTTAAGATCTCCAGATCTGTTTGAACCTGCCATAATACCTTAAAAAGAGATGAAATTTATATGTCATAAGAACAATTAATACTAACTCCATGTAAATAACTAATAGGAACATTTAACTTTAAGCCTGATTTAACACATCAATTCCAATGGAGCAGGCTACAGAAAGGTATTATAATCCTGCACAAATCCTCAATTTATACCTTAATTTTATTCAGAAATTTGTGTTACCACCCACTGTTGACTGAACAAATTCCAGACATCTCAGGAAAGAGATTCTTCGAATATAACTTCAGAATCAATTTTAAAATGGGGAAATATAGAGGAGTATCAAAATGTTGGGAATTGATGTTATAAACTAATGTGGATTTAGCAATTTTACCCAGTGTGACCAGATGCACTAACTTTCTACTAAACAGACCATACATAATAAGACATGCAAGCAAATCAATAAACTAAATAATAAAAATATAGGAACAAAAGAAAGGAGCAGGCAGGAAGAACAGGAAGAATGGTTATGAAATCACATGTACATATCCCTGTTTGAATCTAAGAGAACAAAAATATTTTCTAGCACATGCTGTGACACAAGGGAAAAATCATACAATAACCGACTAATTTGTCATCTTTCCTACAATTGTCCTGACCACTGTTGAAGGCAAAAACTTTGAAGCTAATGTCAAGACATTCCAGTGCAAAAAGCATTGTCAAACGACATGCAATGAAACCCTAACACAGGTTCAGATACAATGAAATGTTGATAAAGAGCCTGAAGTAGAGAAATGGGAACAGTGGGGGACAAGAATATGAAGGGATGCCTCCGCCTGGTATTCTACTAGCAAACACTGCTGCAACTTTGTGTCAGAGTTCTGTTTTGTTACTTGATATTACAATTGCTTGAACTGGGATTTTTGAAGAAGAATGTCTCTAGTTGTTTCAGTCAAATGTGACCTGAGGAAAATGATATACAGCTAATCTAACCTTTAAGCTTTACCAAAAGTTCTCTACTAGTTACAGTTGAAATAAAATATTGGACATTTAAACAAATCCCAGGCAGTTCACAACTTGAAAACATCTTAATACTCAACTGTTCTCTCATGCATTTGAAGATTAAAATATTATAAAGGTATGCATCTTATTTTGAATAAGCATTTAGAAACACAAGGAGCTTTTTTTTTCTTTCTAGACATAGAAAATAGCACTTAAACTGATTCCTTGTTTGAGTCCTATAACCCCCTAGAATAACCAGCCACCAGCTGGTTATCTCTCTAGCACCAGAAAGTTTTAGGTACCTAAAACTTGGACACACAGACCAGCAATATCATGTGTCATCAATAAACATTCACACACACACAAAATAATCTTTTTTCAGCTATAAGTACACATCCTCACTCAAGAAAAATAGTTGTATCTACCCGTCACAGATGGGAAATAAATCCCTACAAGCATTGTGAAGTAGGTCATAATGTCTGTAAAAACGTAAGGCAATCCACTCATTTTTGTCTCTTCTGATCCAGCAACTGATGGCTGATCTTTTTTCTCAACTATTGATCCTTTTTCTGAATAGGTACTCCACAGATTATCTACAAGGGGGGAAAAAAACCAAGAGCCAGTGTCATCTCTCTGTTTCAGGATATTAAGTAGTGAGAATGCAATAATCTTATGAATCAGATGGCTTTTCTTACACAAAAATCATGACATTTCCCAACATTTCCTTATAAAGGCAAGAATGCAGCAGCAATACAAACAATACCAATTGTAACTGGTGGACATTCCCACTGTATGTCAGCAGAAATGTGGTAGCATATGGGGTGCGTCATACAAGATTTTCTCACCATTAAAGAAAGATTTAGTTACAGAATTAAATTCTAATATATTCATAGAATGTCCACTTACCTTGCACAAACATATGGATGTATTATGAGGATGTACTGCAAAAAATAAGGAAACTATATCTCCAGGTTCAGGCAATCTTAGCATATATTCATATTTCTTGTTCTTACATATTGAGGAGCAGGTCAAAAAAGAAATGCTACTTAGCAGTAACTTCAGTTCTTTGAGACCTGCTGTACAGAATAACCCTGGACAACAGTTCAGGACTTAGCTGTTCACAGTGAAGGTATTCCACACTGTGACAAAAGCAGAATAACCAGACTCCAGAAGAGAACTGATAAGTAAAAAAACCCAAAGCAAGCAAAAACCAGCAGAATGTGGCTCAAATTCCTCAACAAACTAAGGATGCTTGTTCAATGAAGATTAACAGGTCAAAGAACCAGTAGCTTTTGAGAGCTTACATCTGTGGAAACACTGTCCCTTGACAAGATGGTGAGAACATCCAACACCAATTCTTATTTTAAAATGAGACCACTTGTCCTATTACATATGAGGAAACAAAGTAGATGCTCTCCCTCCCTGTCAAAGAGCCAAAGGATTTTATACCACAGAAATAAGCAATTCCCATGACTGCCAGGATGACAGATCCGATAGCCAATTTTCAGCTATCCAGTACAACTTAAGGGAATTCAGTATAGTATTCTAAGCATTCACAACAGCAAAAGGTTACCTTGAGCACAATAGGAGATTGACTCTGAATCTCCATAAGTGGCCAAAAATAGTACTCCTATCCAGATTTGTAACAGAAATCTTATTGGTAGGCATATATCTAAGCATGCATAAGAAACAAGAGACAGCAGAACAAAGATTAAAAGGAAAGTAAGTATTAATGGCTACAGAATGCTATATGTGTTAGTTCATTCAAATGAAGAGGAATAAACTAATCTAGAGATAAGACTGAAGCCACAAAAAGAAGAGTTAAGGAAACAAGATAATTGTAAATTTCAGGAATTTTAGCAAAGATTTGAGGAGTGACACAAAACAAGACAAGATCTCCAAATTAGATCTACTCCCTAGGGAGCATAAAAAAAAAAGTCGTCCCCCCCCCAAAAAAGTCCAGTTTGTCATTGCCAATCAAAAGCACTAAATACTTAATAAGGACTCAACAGCCTGTGTCTTATTCTGCATGACACAGAAGCAACAATGGCCTGAGCACTCCAATGCATACAACTAACTATGGAAGTGGGCATGTCAGCATGAGTGGGTAAAATCAGCTTAGAGATTTTGTAAAACAGTAATCACTTTCCCCTTTCATAAGATGTCACACAGAGCTTTGTTACACTAATTTCCTATGCTCATTTTCCCAGAAGTGATATTCCAAGCGGACTTGAAAGTTAGGGTGAGGAAAAAGGGTCACTTTTCAGAAGAGTCCAGGCATTTGTGGAGAGGTAGGTTTCCCTTCTAGGACCACTCAGGGGTTGCTGAGGCTCCTCTAGCAACATTTAGGGACACATAAACGAGACCTGGTATAATGTATCTAACCCAACAACATGCTACCATGAAGCAGAACAATGCTGGTAAAAGTTATTTCCAGAATTATTTCATTATTGTTAGGGCCACATTCACAGGCACGTTTGGTCAACTATTTGTAGAATGAATGATTTTTCTTATGACAACATTCATGGAAGGTGTATAAGAGATGCATACTTACTGTATACAAATGCCCAGTAAATGGTGTGAGGACTTCGCACATGCTTCCTGAGACACCCAGGCATGATATCTGACTATTCCCAGCCACAGCTCGAGAAACAGAGTCTGCAGCTGCAGTCTTCACACAAACCAGAACATACCCCATCAGTGGAGGAAAATCCTCCTTGAGAAATCCTTGCCCATCAAGTTCAAGCTTAGATTAGGTATCAGAATGTGTGCTCACACTCAGCAAGCAGGACATGTGACCCACTTAATTCAGCCCTAGAATTACATGACACTAGGATAGAGAAATGCACTTTTATACAGCAGCGCTAGTTCGAAGAAATGTTAATCAGTGAACAGAACCAGAGCACATTTTTCCAAAAGTAGAGAAATTAGTACTCAGCCTGAAACCTCCAAGAACAGTGAAAGATTAGCACCTGAGGTAGCTAACTATGAGTTTACCTGAAGTTGTATTGCTACCCAACGACAGAAACATGACAAATGTAAAGCCAACTTTTTAAGAGAGTTTCAGAGAGATCAGGAAACTAAAGGCTCACAAGTAGCATCTGCACACAAACAGCTGATAGCAACAATAGCAATGGACAGAAGCAGTAAACACATAGGTGTTATCTTTGAGTTCTGACAAAACCAGCATCTATTCACAGTTTTTTCTTGAGTTTTGAGGAACTGGAGAAGTCTCAGCATAGCTTTTGTAAAAGAAAGTTGTTGGAAGTATTCGTGTTCCTTGAGCGAAAACATAAATGAAGGCGATACACATTCAGTCCACTGAGTTTCCCACATTTTTGAAAGATTCCTCACCCAAGGAATCTATAGTAGCCATGGGATAAGAGGAAAACTCCCCACATGGATAAAAAATGGTTCAAACATAGAAAACAACAGGTAAGAATAAATGTAAATACAGTTGTGAAATGCAGGACAGCCACCAGTAAGCTTCTACAAGGATCAGCAGCAGGATGTAACCAGTGCTTTCCAGTACGCTCAAACACTACTGGAAAAAGGAGCTAGTAACAAGATGAGAAAGCTTACTGGTAATAATCAGCTATTCAAAGCTGTAGAAGCAAAACCAACTGCAAAGAACTACAGAAAAAACATATCAGATTCAGTAAGCGAACAGAATACAATTGATGAAATTCACTATAGGTAAGCATCAACCAAACACCAGAAGGTGTATCCCTCACACTGAGCTTCAGTGGACTTTCAGTGGTTGTTAGAGATCTTAGCATTACGTGACAGTAGAATAGTGAAATGCACTTTTATACAGTTGTGCTAGTTCAAAGAAATGTTTATCAGTGAACAGAACCAAAGCACATTTTTCCAAAAGAAAAGTTAGTACACAGCCTGAAACCTCCAAAAGCAAAACAGCAGTTTAAAGCTTGCACTGTAGCAAAAAATTAGAACACATAGTTGTCTTCTGAGTTGGGACAGAAAACGTAAACATATTCAGGAAAAAACTGTAGATATGCGTGTGGTAAATTATAAAATGCATAGAACAAACCCTAAAGTCACATTTCTTGTAACAAACATTTCAGTTAAAAAGAATTTCATTTTTCATTGAGGAAACTGAGTCTGTCTTTTTTTAAAACATACAATTTAGATTCAGAGAAGCCTATGCTTCATTTAGTATCTTTTTATGTATTTGTACACTTTATATTTGATATTTTAAACTGAATTACTATGGCAGTAGTGCTTGCCTAGTGTCCCTATGTAGAGTTGCATATTTATACAAATCAAACCTTATTTTAAGGAGAAGCATCAGAACATCCATTTCATTCCCAGAAACATTCTTTGTTTGTATACAATACAATCCACTACATGTTCAAAATGAATCTTATGACTCAGTGCAATTGGATTCCTAAGATGCAACAACTGTACAGGAATGTAAACATAAGAAAATCTACACACTTTTTAGAGCATCTCCTGTCCAAATGCTAGACTGGAAGCTAGAAAGACTAATCTTTCCATCACTAACTTGCTGTATCACATTGGACAAGCCACAGGACTTCATTCCTCAATGCAAGACCTGTAAATTGGAAACATGTTCTCCCTCAGGAGATTTCGAGAATGTATTAATGAACAGCTTATTGCAATAAGTGTATTTAGCATGCAAAAGAGCTAAACACTTAAAAAAAATTAGCTGTGATAAACACTTTGCTACTTTTTTGAAAGAGTACCTATATAACTCTAATGACCCCTAAATTAAAGCATTTGATACTAAGCTTCTACCAGATGGAAACTTTATAGGAGGAAACATGCTCCAGATAGCAATCTTTCACAGATTAGAGCTAAAGAAGTAGTGACAGGCTAGACCACTACATTACTGAACAGCTACAGGCCAAATCAATGATGTCCAAAAATTTTTAAATCACTGTGCTTTCCAACTTACCAATTAGAACTCCACTCATTATTCCTGGAATCCCTTGAATTTCCGTTACATTATTGAGACTAAAGTAGTGATCACATGTAGCATTAAGCAAAGAACTATCACAGAATAGGTGCCACAGAGTTGTAGTCTTTGTTTCATTATTGCTTTCAGTAAATTTGGCACAGACATCAAAGCTGCGTTTTGACAATGTACGGTTTCCAAGGAGACAGATACTATAAACAAAAAAATAAAAACAGTAATCCTTCAATATAGCATTGTGTATTAAACCATTTTTTGTCTACTAGGTACTATAAATAACAGGTTGCTGAAGAAGTCTATCTTATGACCTATACTACGTCTACTAAAACAGTATATAGTCTCTGCATATAAAATTATTATCAATAATCTTTAAAACACTGATCAAACATTTCTACTTTAAGGTATTAATAGCTATTTTGTCTTCTGATTTATCCTCTGGAAAATACAAGCAACTCAGGCAGCATGGCCACTAAACAGAGATCATGATTAATTCAGTCCTACAAGAAAGAAGTGAAATTAAGTAATACTTAATATAATGACGAGCCTGACCAAGAAAACACAAAAGTATGATTAAGCAAGTATATCATGCCCTTTTCTAGCAAATAAATATTTTAGATGGCCCTCAAACATGTTAAAATCCAAGAAGTAGGAAATAACCCAAGGAGGTTAAACAGCAAAATTTGAAAACATTGATGGGAAAACAAATTAAAAAATGACACAGCAGGAAACAATTAGAACAGTCAGAAATGAAAGAAAATTACAAAACTTGGAACAGTTTGCAAAAAACAAATTCCTAGCAGCAAACAATATTAAGGATCTAGGAACATTTCTTCGCTAAGCTACACAAAATATGTTTAGGAGATATCTATTCCAGGCTTACTTAATAATGAAATTATATATAATACCTATGAAGATGAAAGAAGGAACATCAAATAAAACATTCATGTTAGGCAGATAAGTCACAGAACACATAGTACGCATCTAACAGTTCTGAAGGGGCTCAGCGAAGAAGCTGATAACAAACAGGAAAAATATACCACTTGACATTAGAACAAGTGTACTGAGCCAAGCAGAATATTGACCTAGTGCACTATCCTTTTTCTGATAGCAATTAAGAGTAGATGCCTCGAGAAGAGTACAGGACACCAGTACAGCTTCAGGGTATGGTACCACATGGAAGTTGAGCAGATTTAACAGAAAGCTGCTGCTAAAAAGATCTTGCCACTTGCTTTGTTCATTTTTGTTTTTAATTGCTATTGATTTGGTGACCCTTATAGCAGCATGGTGAGTTGATTCAAACCATGGAAACCTCTTCCAGTTCGATTCAACTGGGAGATCATGAGGCAAACTATTTTACCACCTATACAATGGCCAAATCTAATTGAGGTTAGGGATGCCAACCTAACTAACCAGCTAAGTGGAAGCTGGTCTTTTTGGTGACCAGCTCTCCACCAGATCAGCTTTACCATAATGTAAAACCATGCTCAAATTTCTCATTTTGAGACAGATTGGCCAAAATGTGAACAATTATATTTATTGGAAGATAACCTTTCTTTATTTCCCCCCCTCCCCCCCAACAATAACAGTACCAGCCACAAATAAGGTTTCCAGGAACTTGGTACTAAGTCTTACTAACTTAGTACTAAGCCACTTTCCATCATCTATCAGCAGTCCTGGTTAACAGGGGAGGTCCCTGATGACTGGAGGCTTGCCAACGTGATGCCCATCTACAAGAAGGGCCAGAAGGAGGACCCGGTGAACTACAGGCCTGTCAGCCTGACCTCGGTGCCAGGGAAGATTATGGAGCAGTTCGTATTGAGTGAATTCAACAGGCAAGTGCGGATCAACCAGGGGATCAGGCACAGCCAGCATGGGTTCATGAAAGGCAGGTCATACTTGACCAACCTGATCTCCTTTTAGGACCGGGTGACCTGCCTGGTGGATGAGGGAAAGGCTGTGGATATCATTTACCTGGACTTTAGCAAAGCCTTTGACACAGTCCCCCACAGCATTCTCCTTGGGAAGCTGGCAGCTCATGGCTTGAATGGGCATAGTCTTTGCTGGGTAAAAAACTGGTTGGGTGGCCGAGCCCAGAGAGGAGTGGTAAATGGAGTTAAGTCCAGTTGGCGGCCAGTCACGAGCAGTGTTCTCCAGGACTCCATTTCGGGGCCAGCCTTGTTTAATATCTTTATCAACGATCTGGATGAGGGGATTGAGTGCACCCTCAGTAAGTTTGCAGATGACACCAAACTGGGTGGGAGTGTCGATCTGCTCGAGGGTAGGATAGCCCTGCAGAGGGACCTGGACAGGCTAGACCAATGGGCCGAGGACAACTGTATGCAATTTAACAAGGCCAAGTGCCAGGTCCTGCACTTTGGTCACAACAACCCCATGCAACGCTACAAGCTTGGGGAAGAGTGGCTGGAAAGCTGCCTGGCGGAAAAGGACCTGTGGTGCTGGTTGACAGCCGTCTGAACATGAGCCAGCAGCGTGCCCAGGTGGCCAAGAAGGGCAACAGCACCCTGGCTTGTATCAGGAATACTGCTTCCAGTTTTGGGCCCCTCAATACAAGACAGACATTGAGGTGCTGGAGCGTGTTCAGAGAAGGGCAACAAGGCTGGTGAAGGGTCTAGAGCACAGACCTTATGAGGAGCAGCTGAGAGAACCGGGGTTGTTTAAGTGGTGGAGTCACCATCCCTGGAAGCATTCAAAAAACAGGTAGACATGGACTTGGGGACATGGTTTAGACTAGTCTACCCTTAATTGGTTTAGTGTGGACTTGGTAGTGTTAGGTTAATGGTTGGACTGGATGATCTTAAAGGTGTTTTCCAACCTAAACGATTCTATGATTCTATGCTAAATATCCAGATAAACCCTCTTTTACCTACATAGGTGACTAAAAGATTTAAGTATTTCCCTATTGGAAGTTAGAATTTCTTAGAAATTCAAGTTTTAAAAAAAAAATGTTGATTTTGAACGCAATTTTATTTTTTCAATAGAAGACTTGATATTATTTTACAGTACAGGCCACAAATACTGCTTTAATGCTCAATTCATAACACAACCATCAACACTTTAAAGTACTATGAAATCTGTAACAACTATAAAGCAAAGATAACTGCAGTCCTGCATAACAGATGGCACTTCGTAACAAAAGTTACCAGGCTACGCTGCTAGTGTGTTAAGCAATATCATTTTGTTTTCCCTCCAAACAGAAAAAGATGCAGAAAAATGCAACTCACATACTGGTAACTGGACAAAAGTAGTAATTCTTAGTGAGCTAAGAGAGGTACAAACTAAAGGTGTTCAGAAGCAACCATGTGCGACAACAATACAATTTGATTTGATTAACAAGAAGGTAGAAAGCCTTCACAAACACAAGTGAGTTTAACACTGCAATGTCTCCATTTTAAGCAGGGAGAAATGGAAGTTTCAAAAATTTCCTCATGACAAAGAAAGTCTGAAAGTATGTTTCTTTCATAGCTACATTTGCTTCAAGTTTTTACTTTATTCTATAGGGTTTTAGTTTTATTCTTTATCTAAGCAGCTATATTTACTGTCAGCAAAAAACACCTTCTGTTCTTTAGGTGTGGACAGAATAACAGCCAGTAACTTTAAGTACCAAAGAACACTCTCCAGAGTATCATGTCTTATGAACAATGACAGAAAGATTCAGACAGGTAACTCAGAATAACAAATGAGCACATAATTGCCTAAAACACATAAAACCTACCACTGAAGCCAATGTGCTTGAAGTTTAGCTTAAAACATGAAGTGGTTACAGTAGCTATTCCCTCCCCCTACTTTTTTTTTTTTTAAAAACACACACTACTTGCAATATATTGCACTTACGGAAAGTCAGGTGGGTCAAAAGCAGTCTTAATAACTCCAGCATATATGGCAATGATGGAAAGAATCACACAGGCAAGGAAGACCAGTGCAAGTTTGTTGACATACTTTACTCCCACAAAAACTACTATGGCCATCAGAATGATAATACATGTTCCATAAACTCTCATGTTATTCAACATAGCCTCTGTTTCTTCACCAACCTCTTCTGCTTTAAATATAGCAGCACTTGGAGAAATGTAGGTCTGCAAGAGATATGGCAAACTATCATACATGTAATAACAAACATTTTATTACGAAATCATTTACTTGAAGTTCAAAATCTAAACTTCCCTTACAATATCAGTTTTATTCTTTCACAAACCAGTTCAACCAGACGACACGGGCATTTGGTAAGTGTAGAGGTAAAAGGAAGGGGGAGGCAAGGATGAAGAAAAACAAGTTTTGAGAATGAGGTACTGCTTTTGATTCAGCTGCTTCTCTCCCCTTTAAGTTTCCACTCCTCAAATTCACGTCTCTGCCAGACAGCAAAACCCAATAAGGACCTGGTGGGGAGGGGAGCTACTGACAAAAATTAAAAGAAAAAAAACAAACCAGAGAACTAGCTCAAACACTCAGCTCAAACCTGATATATCCCAGATTCATTTAAATAATTTTATGATTAATAATTCCACTGATTGAAACAAAATATGAAGAAACAAAAGTATAATAAAAAACTAAAAATGTTTTCAGTATTATAGTCCCTGAACTATATTTTATAAAATTCAAACAAAGGTACCTTAAACATCGTACTTTGAAAAGTGTTTTATGGTGAGTTTACCTTAATTTTTAATCTGATGTTGCAACAGCACAATGTAAGATTAGTGTGACAAAGCTTAGTCCTGTGCTAAAACAGACAGTTTAAACTACTGTAATTTCAAACAGGATTCTCTTACAGATCTCAATTTCGTATGATTTTGTTCTGGGTTCTACCTGAAAAGAAGTTGGAAGCACAGGTTATAGGACTTATACTGATAAATGCAAATGGAAAGACAAACTCTGACCTATAGTTCTGCGACATTTGTGTACTACACTACATGATAAAGGTATCTTTATTCCTTCTTCTAAAACCTTTACTAAAAGAATCTCTGCTCAGCTATTAGGGGAGTACTGGGGCTTCAGGCAACTCCACTCCTTGAAAACAACTGCTAAACTGACTATCCTTAAATAATCTAACTTCTAAAGGCAGGAAGAAACTTTGAGCAGGAGGCTATCCTGATGTTCAGAACCAAAATCCAAAAATACACATAGGCAATCCTTTACCATAATCTTCTTTAAATTTAATTTAAATTAATTAGATTAATTTTAAA